ACCCTCTCCCTTCACCACACAACCTTCTCTCCTCCTCACCACACAACCCTCTGTTCATCATTCCTCTTTCCGTCACCACTAAGACCTCTTCCTTCTCACCACACGCCTCTCTCCCCTTCACCCCACATCCCTCCTCACCACACAACCATCTCCTCCTCACCGCACAACCTTCTCTCCTCCTCACCACACAACCCCTCTCCTTCACCACACACCCCTCCCCACACAACCCTCTCCTCCCCCACACAACCTCTGTTCATTCCTCTTCCACCACTAAGACCTCTTCCTTCTCCACACGCCTCTCTCCCCTTCACCCCACATCCTCCCCTCATCACACACCCCTCTCTTCACCACTCCTCATCATATCTAAGAGTCTCTTCACCACACATTTCACTCCTCAACGTTGGGTCAACTTGAGTGGCCTTGAACTCTGAGCGTGTTTTAGTGCAAAGGCTAGTCAAGGCCTTTGAGTACGACGAAAGGGAAGATGCACTAAGACTATCTCTTGGTCTTGCCCTTATCTACCTCTGAATAGATTCCCAAACAGATGCGGTAATCGAGCCACGACAAGTGGATTTGATGGGTGAGGAAACGCAGGAGTTCAAAGATGTGGTAACTTGACGCGAGAAACATAACACTCTGGCATTTTACTTTACTTCAAGTTGCTGTTATGAAAATTTGAGGTATGTTGATCATTGAGGAGCAGGAACACGCTGAGTAGCATGAGTATTATGATTGACAAGTAACAGAAGTATGATAGTCGTTAAGGTTTAGGAACACAGAGATCAACCATGGTGATCTGTAAAGAGCAAAGGTATTGCAGCTGATTCTGCACGATTTCTTACTGTGTACAACATCCTCGTCAGTCCTCCTGTAGCGGACGCTAGATATTTTACGCAATCAATCAATCAATCAATCAATCAATCAGTCCTCTTGTGGAATATTACCCTCTCGTGTAAGGTGGCTTTTCACAGTTTTACTTTCTACTCAAAAACAATACAATTAAAGCTATTGCCTCATTTACAACTAATTAATTAATTAATTAGATTCCTCCATTCCTCCTCTTCATTTATCTCTTCATTTTCGCTGTTTTACGGCTATTCTGGGTCAGTGTCCTCATGAAACCAGTCTATCATTCCACGTTCCTTTCATTTCCAATCCCATTATTTCTTACTATGCAACTTCTACTGTGTAATTTTTTCTTCGAATTTCATTATCATTTACCTTCTTCATTCTTCACACTTGCATATACGAGTAAATCAACGGATAGATTCACGTCAAAACAACAATTCACCGAATCCCTAACACCAGAATCTATTTTATCTTAAAGATATCCTCAAAATTCCTCCATCATGAAAACTTAACAACATACACAAAAAAGACGTAAGTTAACTGCTACTGTCGGTATCAATAATAAAGTTGATCTATAATAATTTTAATTCTACTCCTTCACTACAGGGGCGTCACTTTAGATATTTCATATAGCTAAAACCGGACGATTTCGTTCAGCACAGAGACACACCGTACAATAATGGGTTAAGAAAATTAGCAACGGTTAACTGTAGCTGATTAGGCTCTTTGATATCTGACTGCGCAATAACCAACAGGTGGCTGTCTCTCCTACACAACAAGTCAGTAATGCGCTAAAGGCGGATCACTCAAGAACGTAACACAAAAGCCGTGATGTCGCACCAATAACATAAAGAAAAATATTTCCTAAGAGTTATAAAGTAGTGCCTTTTGGCTTATCGACTACCACTACTTGAAGAGCAGAAAAACAAAGGTCCCTTAAAAATCCTTCTGCCCCGACCAGACGCTGCCATCAGAGCTAAAAAAAAAACACAAGGCCAATGATCTCAAAAAAAGAGCGTGCTTCGCTGTCTTTTGTGCCTACTAACTACTCTTACCACGCAAATTATTAGACAAAATTGTATCTAAAATTAGGATAATAACTTATTATATATACATTCGTACAGTGTATGTGAAACTCAGTTGCCAGTAGGAAAGAGCCGGGGTGTTTTGTGCCAAGGAATATTTCAGACATTGGCAATCCTGAGAGATATAGTTATTGGCTCCAGGTACAATCAGTAGCAGTAATTGCTCCTCCCTCTAGTAACCGGAGCCACGGCAAGTGAAGGCCTGGCGATCGGACAGGGGAAGGGATACCCTGTCAAAAAGTTACTGAGTAGTTTTGGAACTATCGTGGCTGGCCATGTTGCATTGTGTCAGTATCGGCCTTCGCTGTCTGTGGCTCCGGCTACTGTGGGGAGGGAGGGAGGTGGTAACAGCAAATACTACTTCTGACTGACTGTACCTTGGAGCCAATACCCACTACCTCTCTCAGGAATACTGTATGTTAGAAGCAATTTAGACCCGATTTTTTAGGAAAGGAATAAGACAAATGGCGAGGAGAATATTAAAGAATAAGAAACAGAAAGTAAATGTTCTGTTCATGGATTGAGATAAACCATACAAGGTAAATAAGATAAATGTGTCTTTACTGAAGGCTATCAAGTGTTGTTGTTTTTTTATCACGGAATAAATACAATCGCGATTATAAACAAAATGGTCTGAGTAAAAAGATTAGACGTGTGTGTGTGTGTGATGCTGTTTGATATTACCTTCATGGGTGGATTAATACGTGAGATGAAGGCGAATAGATTAAAATATGATGAACATTGTCATTTTTAGTATATTCTTCGGTGTTGTGCTGATCGTCATGGAAGTAAATGGAAAAGTTGATAAAAAAACCACTTCATTAATGTTGAGTAGAATGTGTGTGTGTGTGTGTGTGTGTGTGTGTGGAGACTAATTAATTTACCCTAACTTTCATATACTAACGTGAATCTCAGGTGTTTGTCCTTAGTTACAGATCAATAAAGGAGAGCAGTAGAGATAGTAAGGAATGAAGATGAAAAAGATTATGTGGGATCTATAATATAATCGGAAGAGTCATGTGGCTGAGAGTAATTCAAGACGATATAGGTGAGAGACGAGACTTCCGGGAGATTGTTGATAGCATGACTAGAAGCGAGATAGAAACAGGAGGGAAAACTTGAAAGAAACTGAGAAATTATATAGAAGAATGAAAACACAATCTAAAGGTGTCATATAAGAAGAGAATGCTTAAAAGGTACTTAATATAGATTGTAAACAGTAATGCTAATTCGTACTTGACATTGGCACGAAGCATGAATCCAACGACTTAATTTAGTATACATAGAATATTGATATGAAGTATTAAGAATCAATGCAGGTATGAAGATTCAGTGTTTGTGTGTGTACTGTGCATGCAATCAGGGTATTTCAGCAAACAGGTTTATGGAGTTTCGTTTTGTTGTTGATAATAAATAAACTGCACTTACTCATACACATTGATATTATTCACATACCGATACTTCCTCACATACCGATACTTACTCACATATCGATACTTACTCACATAACGACATTTACTCAGATACCGATACTTACATAACGATACTTCCTCAGATACCGATACTTACATAACGATACTTACATACCGGTACTCACATACCGATTCTTACTCACATAATCATACTTATTCACATAAAAGGTTAATGTATAACCTCACCTTTTTCTTTATACAAATACTCACCCCAAATGAATACCGATATACCTATCACGAGTGTAGTAGCGTTACCAAGTGGGTAAAAATACGATAGACTCATAAAATACGCCAACTTCAGGAGGAAATACGAGTGAAATGTGAAAATAATACGATGAAGTAAAGAGGAAAAATTAAATATGCATAAATAAGAACGAAATCACGGGAATCACCATGCAATAAGATTGAAGACGGATGGAAAATACGGGAAAGACGGTTAAATAACATACGAATGAAAATACGGCAAGGTTAGGTTCGGCAAAATTTTTTTATTATAAAGGACCATAGTGATAAACTACACCATTGCGGGTTTACATGTAGTGGGGTCAAATCATCGTGGGTTCAACATGTAATGGAGTCAAAACATCGTAGGGTCAACAAGTTGTGGGGTCTACATGTAGTGGGATCAAAACATCATGGGGTCAAAACATTGTGGGGTCAAAGCACCGTGGGGTCAACATGTAGTGGTGTCAAAACATAGTGGAGTCAACAATGTGGTGGGGTCAATACATTGTGGGGTCAACCAGTCAGTTTAACATAAAACAAAATCAGATAAGTTCTTTTTTTGGGACTGAACTCAAATGACAAGCTTCATTATGTGCATTATGCAGAAGACCCAACAGCAGCACCCTTTTCCACTACCTCCTAAGATGTCCCCACACACAACGCTTCCGTGACGCCTGCTGGACCACCACTCCACGACCCCCTGACGGAGACACGATGATCCTCCCCATACTGGCCACATATTTTGTAAATAATATTGATTATGTGTTAAAGGAATAACCTTCCTTCCTTAGGCTTTAGTAAGCCCCTTTATAATATTTACTACTGTATATACTTGTCACACTTGCCAGATGCTTCTGGTGTCATTGTACAGGGGTACCTAGTGACAGCACTAGGATCCCGCTTCCTCTATCAAGGAATAAACAATTGAAATTGAAATTGAAGCTTCATTAAAACATTCACAAAGGTAAGTATCATAATGGACACAGTAATTAATAATATCACGATTAATTTTAATGATAACGATTATTACACGAATTATTTTCACCACTCATTGTTACACTAATTATTTTTACCACTCATAATATACAACGATACCACAAATATTAATAATGCTAATAAGGAGAAGAAGACGAAGAAAGGAAGATGATGAAGAAGAAAATTAGCATTAATAATGATAACAATAGTATTTTTCTTACTTCTTTTTTATTTTATCCTAACCTTAATAGTCGATAAATTCATCCATAAAAAAGCTTATGTCAAGATTCGTTTCAGTTATCCTTGCTCGGTGAAAAATATTCTTCTCAGTCTTATACGGTTTGGCAACCGAGAGAAGCATGCGAGCTCAGGTATATATTCGTCAGGTGGAGGGTCAACGGGTATTGTTGCTTGCCTGCACGCTGGAGTGAAGTTATTGTATATACATATATATCTAAAAACACTGCGCTTAAAGTGTTGAAAGGATGTTACATATGTGTCGTTGATGAACACTTGAAATCTCTGTTTAACTCATACGTACTGTACTTCTTCAGCGGGACATTAATACCAAGACGGGAGTAAAAGTTGTTTATTTATACAAAACAAGCGTCACTCGGTGTGGTCTCTCTTGCTTTGTTGTGTAACAGAGTGAATTCTCTACGAAGGCCGTCTTAAGGACAGGTATTGTCACCGTTCCCTCATACGGAGAGGGAACCTGGGCACTGACACAGTCTTAGCTATCGTCAAGTTCGGGATATCATAGACAGTTCGGTCTGTCATATGGTATCCCTCCCCAAGAAAACTATCAGCTGAGTGATCCAGTAGAACCGTCGGATTAGTTCCCCTTTACAAGGAAAACGTGCGTGTGTAGCCGGAAAGGTAAGTAGCATTTAATTATGGTTATGGATAGCCTGATCACGTGACTAAGGTGATTATAATGATATACTAAGGTGATGTACAGGTAAAGAGCTGTGTCTTCGATTCCAAAACTTGGGTGGCAAAGGCAGAGTTATGAGTCAGTAATCTTGTTATGGGATGCGGGGAATTTGGTTAAGCTTACCTTTAAAACTTTGGCAAGGAAAATGTGTAGAAAAGGTGCATCACTTTGTTACTATCATTTTTCTTTATTAAATATTCGTTGATATGTTCGTTTTAATGAAAATAATATAAATATGGTGAGAGTAAGAACACGAAAGAGAACTCAAGAAAATCCTGTTCTTCATCTCGACAGGAATTATGGCGTTTCATCTCTGTCGATCACACCTTAAAGCATTTCATACAGCAGATGATACGAACCGATTAAACGAAACCTATATAAATCTAATCCAACATATTGAATAAGGCTGGATTAGTCAGTGTCATATCCCACGGGGAGAGTTCTAGTCCTATAAGAATATAAGAATGGAGGAAACTACAGCGGGCCTATTGGCCCATACTGGGCAGTTCCGTTTACACCCAACCCCTATCGCTCATATATCCATCCAACCTATGTTTGAAGCTATCCAACTTATTCGAGTTAATGATGATATTTGGTAACTTGTTCCACTCATCCACTACTTTATTTCCAAACCAATGTTTACCTATCTCGCGCCTAAATTTAAATTGGTAGCCTCCAACACGACCAAACACACTAATTGCTGCCTTTCGTATGAACACCTAAACCTGATTTGCGTGAGATTATTCTGGGTTTTTTTTCCTCGCAAGTTATGTCTGTTGGGTTATAGTCTTACGAATAGTTCCTTGTGTATGTAAGTTAGCTGAAGTGAATCATAATGGCTATTCATTTTCTATTAATGTTACTCAACGGAATGAATAATTTATATTATATCTGATCTTTTTATTTATGTGATATATGCAGTACAAATTTTCCTGGTGTGTGTTTCTAAATGTATACTGTATAAGAGAGGGGGTGAGTTTATAATAAATTACAAACTTATGTAAATCATGGAAATTAATTTTTTTGTTCTTGGTTCTCAGGATGACTCCAAAACCATTAACCGAGAAAACGAGTCCCCGAGATCTTAACTCATGCCAGGGGAACCTCACGCCCCTCATCATGAACCAGAAACACGACCCCGACAACGAACCAGACTCCAGGCGTCGCCAAGACCACTACATTGACCACAAGGTACACCACAGTGACCACAAACACCAAGATAAAGACCTAAAACCCCTGAAGGACCATAACTCGACACCCTCAGAGGATGCAGGTAAGGGATCGGTTTACATCACGAATATTACAGACAAGCAAACAATAATTAAACATCTGTAACCCCTGTAATGAATATATTACCTTATAGAAATAACCGTTTAATCTTCTGTCTTTTATGTAGAATATTATATATTTACCTAAGTCGAGGATGTGGAAAAATAATGTGAAGAATAATCCTTCGTCCACTTGACAGTCAACACACGTGATAAGATAAACGCGGCAGACATAGTAAACAGTCAGAAACAATGTAAACCAAGGCATGTAAAAACCCTACTTGCCTTGTATCGCTGCATTTGAAAACACGTCAAGAGTCGCTACTATAATTTCAAAGCTGTATCCTGGTCATATATTTCAAATAATGTCACCTTTGTCTAGTATGACTTGTTATTATGTTTTTGAGGAACAAAAACAAAATTTGAATTCCGATCAACTTACAGCTAGCTAGAGATGCCTAACCTAGATTAGGTAGTACCTGTATCACTTCTTAACTGAGGTGTTGAAATGTTTGTTTTGGCTACATTGTTCGAAGTCACTTTATCCTAAATTGGTCGCCACATCTTGGTCAGTGTTACGTGCGTGCTTAAGGTTCTGTACTTTGTTTTTTGTTTAAGGTTTGTGAGGGAGAGACACGAGACAGCTGCACGTGTGGTATTTTGGCACTTTGCTTATTCTGCGAGCTAAATGTTCGACTTCAGATTGTCTGCCGTGATACCAGGTGCGCTTGAGGCACTTTATGAACGCGTCTGTGCAGATATAAACAAAAGAAAACATAATATTGGTATACAGAGATAAGAAGACACTTGGTAAATAAATTGTACGTCTAATCTTATAATAAGACTTTCTGGTTTTCCAAGTTAGCACCTGCGTAAGGAATGAAAGGCTCTGCGTCCACCCCCTCACTGTAACGCCTTGACCCTAACGGATCCTGGCTCTCCTGTTCGCCTTGGTGTCCAGACCTTTTATCTCCCACGTCCCAAACAATTTATCCCAGGAAGAGTCTCCTCCACTCAGTACGAACTAATGATGTTCCCATAAGCCAAGTTTTTGAGATAATCTATACTGGGAAAGGCGATAAGATAATTTAAAAACTTATTGTTATGATATTGAACTACTGTATTACTGTGCAGAGAGACTGTTAACGTCGCGAGGAATACAAGATGCGAGGGAGGAGAATGTCCTTACAGTGGTGTGTTAACTACCAATGCTTAGCCATAATACACGACAGTTGGCAGAAAGAATTTGTTGCCATCACACAGCACTCATTCAGTAGTCGAGACTACAAGACGTGTGTGTAATAAAAATAAACATGAAATAAAAATAAAGATAAAAATATAAATAAAGATAAAATAATAATAATAATAATAATAATAATTAATAATAATAATAATAATAACATGGCAGCCAAAAGGCTGAAAATATACAGTTACACAATTGGCAAATGGGTCACTTGACTGGCAAATAATATACAAGTAACATAAGTGGTACAAATATGATATATTGTATAATATCAAGGAGGGTAATTCAACAGGGAATTTCAGCAAAGTAACAATACAAAAGTAAGGTGTTTGTGTCACTTGTGTCACGACCAAATAGAGAGCTGTCCTTGATACTGTTGCCAAGGCGCGTCAGTCGTGGTAGCTTGTACGAGCCACTTCCTGCACAACGGCGGCCTCTGGCATTGAAATTCTGGAATATGGTTCTGCTCCTTCACCACGATTCAGAATTATTAGCTCATCAGAATAAAACTGGTGTTTATGTTAACATACTTCCTAGTGAACAGTACAGTAGCTGCACCAAATTATTTCTATAATCCATATCCACGTGTCGACTCCTCTGTGGCCTATGACACTCAGTAAGAACCACAGAAACGTGTAAACAAAGATAATAATCAAATTTCACTGGCAGGTTAATGACTGCCCTGTGTCCAAGGCAGACATGACGAGAGTACTGAAGTATCACATTGCCGACGTGTTGGTCTCATAGGTCTGACGGCTCGTTAGGAATAGTAAGGATACAACACATTGTGACTAATATGGGTAAACAAGGTGGCAACGTGGCCAGCACTGCACTCGGCCGCTTCGTTTCCCCAACTGTTACGCACCATCACTGTACTATCCCTAAGTATTTAATATTTACTGAGATATTTATTACTATTTTCACTTGAAGTATACATTTAAAGTTTTTATTATTTATTATTATTTATAATCTACATTTATTAATCAGCCCGGAAGTAATATTGAACAGCAGCAATTCACGTATTGATATCCCTGTTAACCAGAGTGACTTCATTTATATGGATCAAGGAATTGTTTCAGCACTAAGACCCAACAGAACAAAAGTTAAAGCAATTCACGTGCATGACGAAAAAACGGTAGCGATTGGGGACAACGAGCCACGTTTTTTAACAGACGATAACTATTGACAAGATATTTAACAAACGCGAGAAATGATATAATATAACTTATATGTTTACACCCATAATATTATATTTTTGGAATAGGTGATTATTTTTAGTAAACCGTCAACTAGATTTATTTGGTTATGGGATCTAAAGCATTATTGTGAATGGTTTTGAGGACACGCAACAATTAGTATTTATTACGAGTCTTATTCTACTGGTTACTGCAGAGACAAATGGTTATCTCACAATTTAGTAATCCATTATTATTCATTTCAATTTTATACTATTATTACTTTTACAATGACAATATTTTCTTTCAGACAATGAGAATAAACTATGGTCCAACGGGTGTGGTGCAGCCCTTGCTATTCTGTTCCTCTACCTGTATGGCAACGTGTTAGTGATGGACCAGATGCCTGTAGACCCTCGCGTTCAGTCTTGGTATTTCGTAACATCACCCACTCCCATCCTGTTGATCTCGCTCGCCTATATCGCTGGGGTCACATGGGCCGGGCCGAGGTTAATGCGTCACAGGCAGCCAATCAAAAACCTTAAATCAGTCATGATAATTTATAATGCCTTCCAGGTCATCTTCTCCACCTATCTTTTTTATGAGGTAAGTATTCCACCCCACTCCCTTCTTCTCTCTCTAAATTGATCTGACTGTCTCTCCCTCTGTCCTTATATCTTCCTGTAAGTTAGAACTCACTCACACTTAAGAGATGCAAAGGTAAAAGTCGTGTTCTGGAGGGAGTGAAAGGTGCAGCAAACCGCGCCCAACTGTGTAGTACCGTGCATGACTTGTGTCTTAACAACTGACCTGCTCTTGGGAAATGCACAAAACCTATTGTGTTGGTAATTATGCTTTAGAACCGAGGAACATATTAGAATCTAAATACACACACACACACACACACACACATACTGTACATATATATATATATATATATATATATATATATATATATATATATATATATATATATATATATATATATATATATATATATATATATATATATATATATTCACACAAGGAACAGATTATAACCTATAGCCATAATTATACTATCGTTTACACTTCCACTACACTATCATCTACCCAAAATCATAACTTCTAGGTGGGAGCTCGGCCCCTGGTTGGGTCTTTTAAATAGAGGGTTATACTTTAGCTGAGTATGTCAACACTTCCGGCAGATTAGAACCCAAAAAAATGTCGAGGAAACAAGTTACCTTACAAATCCAGTTTTTGCTTTATTCAGTTACATAAATGTTATACCATCAGGAGGTCACCGTGTTACCAGACCACTGTGGCAGCAGGGAGGAATTGAGACTTCCTGAATACTGTATATGGATGCCAGTTAACATAGAAGAAGTATCTTTACGAAATTTTAGGAAGAATATGGACCAGTAGCCTCGCCTCTACCAGTTAGAAAAACTTGCACTCTGTATCAGCGCTTCGCCTCCATGCAGCCTCAAGTCAAGGCCGCTGACATTCTGTTCCTCATTCAGCTGTCCTCATCCATTTTGTTCCTCGTCCAGCTATTCTAGAGACGCAAAACACTACACAGTTCTATGATCCGATACGAAAAGGTTAACGGTAAATGCGAGTGTCTAATGATTACGATTGAACCTTTTAGTTCTATTCGCTTATTATCTTTCAGTAACTGTCAACATTTAAAGCAGCTTGTGAAAGTACGAGCTCTAAAAAAAGATGCGACTTAACGGGAAGATAAATTTGTTGCCAATTATTTTCATTCACAGTAATATATTCCCCTGCAAGAAGTTATACATTTTCCTTGTGCTGCAAATTCCTCATAGTATGTATATTTTGTATTCTTTGGGGACTAAATAAAATAATGGACAATTGACAGGAAATTCAGCAACAAGAGAAGGCCGGCCAGATGTATTTGTTATGACAGAATGGTTGTTTATCTTGGCTTCTGTTTTGTTCTCTGCAGGCTGGCATGGCCGGATGGTTCGGCTCTTACTCCTTCTTGTGTCAACCATGTGACTTCTCTGACAGCCCATCAGCAGTTAGGGTAAGACACTGTTCTGCATAGTCCACATTTTCACCGGAATATATCTGGAAGTTCACCAACTGTAATATAATTTGTTTACTTTTACTAAAGAATTGTTGATATTTTTGACTTGTACGATCTTCACCCACCTTGGGAATTTTGACTTTGATTCTAATTCAATCAAAGAATTTTGTAAATGCTTTTAAGAGACACAAATGAGTACAATGTGTAATATACGTCAGAAAGTTGACTCAGTGGCAATAGCTGCTACATGAACTAATTTATACAATTTCTAAATTATTTATTTCATCAAAGTCATCTCTGACTAAGAACTAATCTAGACAAACTTAAGTCATTGATATTATTACCTGTATTTAACTCTACTTTTATTCCTCTATATCTCCATTGATTAATACACATCTATTGTTGTGCAGCATTAAGTTCATTGTATAGAATTCTATCTAATTATTCAAATGAAAGTTGATATTATATTTTCTGTGTTTTCGTATGTTATAAAATGTTTATATCACTTCAAGTCCCAATATACTGTAGGCCTATAATTTTATAATATCGGTAAAAAAATACCCGCATTTCCACAGATGCTTCACACAGCGTATTGGTATAACTTCTCCAAGTTTGTCGACTTCCTGGACACGGTGAGTAGAAAATACTTCACTCACTGGAAATGCATTTACACTAGAATTTCTCACTTCAAACATTTCTCATCGTAAAGCTAACACATATGAAATATTCGAGACCAAAGTGTCCAGTTACTACCTCATTGACGACGACTGATAAGATTAGTAAGTCTCCATTCCACCGCCAGTCACCACACACTTTAATACCTAAACAATTTCAAAGGAACTTAACAAATATATTCTTGTTTTGCCACATAGTAACAAATTCAACTTGAAATCTGAAAAAAATATTCAAAGAAACAACTGAAATGCAAACCCTTGAAATACAGCTTAGTGAACAGCTTAGGTAACAGTTAACAGCTTGAGTATAACAGCTTAGGAGAGAACATATATATTAGGGAATAACTTAGGTAACAGCTAAGGAAACAGTATACGAGTATAGTAAATAGCATATAGGTAACATAAGATATCCAGATATGATGAATGTTTTTGTGTGATCATAAGATAGCGAAGAAGATAACTATAAATTACAGACAGCTTAATATAAATATTCTATGCAACTAAGAATTCTTCCCCATATCCATTATTTTGTGTCCTTGGTTCAGTGATAAATCGTTTGAAAAATATTTGATATAAGATGATTTTTTTTTCTTGCTTAAATTTTGGGTTTATGTAGTATGGTTTAATAAACAATTATTTTCTTGTTTAGAATCTCCCAAAACTTTGTAGCATTTTTTTTTTTTAGTTATATGATTTGAAATTAATCTACCTCTTAAAACTTTGTAGCATTTTTTTTTTAGTTATATGATTTGAAATTAATCTACCTCTTATATTTTGCCTTTGCTTCTTTCTAGTCCTACAATTCAATACTAAAATATCTCAAATATAGTCTATCACCAGCGAAAATGCCTTACTTCCACTGCAATATGTAAAGAAAAGCAACCTACAGTGACTATATTATTGAATATTACCAGGTGTTCTTCGTGCTTAACAAGAAGTACAGCCACATCTCCTTGCTGCACGTCAGTCACCACGCCCTCATGCCCCTGGGGGTGTGGTACGGGGTGCGCCACGAACCAGGTGAGTCTGTCTATGATCATCACTCAACCTGTCATTGTGATCTCTCTATTAATGCGATGTTTTAGGTTTCTTTTCCTGTGTTCTTCTTCTACTACCCCGCAGGTGTAGGAGTGTCTCGACCCATTTCTATTTGTTTGCCTTAAGGATCTAGACCCCTCTGGACAGGCGTAATGAAATCCTCTGACGTGTTTTTGTTTGATGCCAAATATCACGGCTGAGTAGATGACTGTGGTGGTCCTCATATCTGTCTATTTCAGGTTTATTCTGTATTGTTATAGGTAGGTATGGGTGTGAGGGGGCCTCATACACGTCCCCCTTAATATTTTGAGAAGGGTATGGAAGAGGTGGTACTCATAATTGTTTGTTTCATTGGCCCTATAATGTCAAGCAGGTGGTTACCACTTCCAGAGCTGGTGAGATAGGTCTACCTGGCATTTTTAATTGTTTACATTTGTGGCATTATTAACCAATTGAGTCAGTGTGTGGTGATCATGCAGTCTACCAGTGCTATATGGTAAGGATAAGGGATCTTCAGACTTGTATATCTTTAATAAACCTTTCTCTTCTAAGTCAGGCAAGTGTGAGTTTTTCTCTTGTCTATTATTAATATTTTTCTTTATTTTCCATCATGATCTCGTTCAAAGGTTGACGCGTATAGTAAATTAATACAGGATGATGCAGTTAACGGCTTTGCATAATTGACCATTCCTTGTGTTCTTTGTCTAGTAAATTTTTCAGTATATCGTAAGCAAGTTATAATAACACTCAAGCTCCCATGTTAGTCACTCCCAACTGCATCAACGATACCAACTTCATCTGCTTTAACAGGATAATTCCGTCTATTTCTGATCATATTAATTGGTGTGTGTACAGGAGGCCAGACAACATTCTTCGGGTTTCTTAACACCTTTGTCCACATCGTGATGTACCTGTACTACCTGCTGGCGGCCCTGGGTCCCCGCGTCCGCCCGTTCCTCTGGTGGAAGAAGTACCTCACCAGCCTCCAGATGGTACAGTTCGTCGCAATGTTCCTCCACGCCGCCCTGGTAAGCTCCATATTATCAACAGTAACTAATGGACGTCGTTATAATGCCTATGGTTAAAGTACCCCATGAAGATAGTAACCTAACCAATCCTTAGTGGTTTAAACAGGAACACAGGTAAATAAAAACGTCTCATGCCCACAGACGATCGTCACTGGGTGTCCGGTAGGCATACAGCTGATGAAGTTAGTGTTTGGCCTGGCCGTCATCTTCCTCATTCTCTTTACTGACTTCTACATCAAGGCGTACAGGGATAAGGTGAGGCATTCTTAAACAATGGACAGTTCTCCAGTAATGTGTAATATCATAACTATAATTTCATGTATGTATGTATGTATGTATGTATGTATGTATGTATGTATGTATGTATGTATGCATGTATGTATGTATGTATGTATGTATGTATGTATGTATTGAACCTTGGGTTGCACCTTCAGCCTAGTAGAATTCTAAGGTACTCAGTTCGTTGAAAGCCCTCACACACACACACACACACACACACACACACACACACCTGTCTCTACATGATAATCAGTGAGTTACTTGACTTTGCCCGGGTGGAGGGACATGCTATAGTGTACGACCATCCCCTTAGTTACCCGTACTTTCTTACCAAAATTTAGACCTGTATTTTCGAAACTAGAAACGTATAAGGAACACACACACACACACACACACACACACACACACACACACACACACACACACACTGACCCTTCAATTGATGCTGAATGTTTAATTCGATGCCACTACTATATTACATGGTGACATATGTATTTATAGTAATATGTATCAGTGTTTGAAGTACCATATTTTCCAAGAATCCCCCGACTTATTCGTCAGTTTTCTTCTAATCGAAATATCTTGTACTTTGCTGTGTCATGCACCCATCGCTAATTTGGGGAGTCTGCGCTGAACATTGATAAGCTGTAGTTCTCTTTTACCGTACTCCACACTATTCCCGCGGCACTCATTTATGATATTCCTCTATACTTTTGACAGAACATTGAATCTCTTTCTTATTAGAGATGTAGCAATTCTTCGCAACATGTTTTAGCAACAATGTAATGATGACAATTTTCTACTTGCTATTTCATTTTTGTGTCATCTGACTCTTTAATTGTTCTAGTATTGGAAGACAAGATGGCCCGGGCGATTTATTAGTTATCTCTAGTATATTATTTGTGTCTCACATCCTCTCACACTTCCTTTGTTTCCACAGATGAGAGGAACCATCACCTGTGTCCCCAAGCTCTCGAGTATTTACAATCAGGAACAAAATGGACAGATAAATGGAAAGGCAGTTGACGCAGTTTATAAAAAGTCATTTAGTCACAAGTTTGAGTGACGTCGAGGAGCAGTCCCTGAGGAGCCGCCTGGACCCGCACTAAGAAATGAGTGTTTGTTCGATAAAACACAGACTTGACAAAAAACAAAACCAAACACCAAACGAGTCATAACTGTACAGCCGAGAATGTTTAGAAGAAATTGAGTAGATATTACGCTAGATGGATCTGACTCAATAAATTTGATTGAATTTGTTAGGCGAAGGGATTGTGATCATGGTGTTCAGATTAGGACAGCTAAAATGGTTGAGCTCATTATATCAATTAAATTTATCGGACTGGTATTTTCATACTAAGCATACTTAAGAAAAATGTCTGACATGTTTAAATAAGACTAACACATTTTCTGTAAATATTATACTTAAACTCTCCTGTGATAAGCTACTGTTGCAATTTTGTGTTCTTTGGCTGAACTGATAAAGACACACTCGCCGGCATCTAACATAAGCATGTAAGGCATTATAGATCGGGAGACGAGTTTCTCCCACCTGTTCAACTTTGATACTATGGACATGCTGTCGTTACACGCTGGAAGCTAATAATTTACCTAGAATAGGATTATTCATAAAATTGTATTAACATTTTTATGTCTATATAATATCTATTTTACAAGTCTTACTTGATATACTTCTGAATGAAGAAACGGTATTAAGTTTTCATTTAACCATAAACTGTATTTATAACAAAAAGTTTATAATAAAAGTGCATATTATACTAAGATGCATGTTAATAAATGAAGTATAACGAAAATAAAGTATCTTCAATCACATAAGGTCTTAATTCCACATAATAGGATTTATAGCAATGTTGTCGTCAAGTGTCTAAGCAAATATTTACACCTACAGTCTCCTTCACAAGTGCGTTTACAGGGCTCGCCAGGTTTTGTGCAGTGTGGCAGCGCTCTGTTTGTTTACATTCGAAAGAAGGAAACTCGTATTAGTAAACATGCTATGGAATCAAAGTAAAACAATATTAAAAAAATATCTCAACGTGATGATTTGTGGAATGTCTATATGAAGAGCCACTGTAAACACACTAGTGAAGGGAACTGTATTGTCAACTTTATCAGAATGTATCCCACATGTTTCCACAATCATCTGTGTTGATTTATTTCTATCCACTGAGTACTGTACATCCAGTTCCTATCATGCGTCCAGTGGCGAAGACGATAAAGGCAAGAAGAGCTGACAAAGGCATGAGAGGATTGTTTCCAGTAGAGTCCTTATACCAGCAGCATCTGGTGTTCTTAGGACCAGGCGGTCACCTACCCAGGTACTAACCAAACACAACGTTATTTAACTTCTGTATATTTTTGCTTATTAAGGCATAAGACTAATAAATTCTAAATTGAAGGATGTAATAGATTTAAATTAGTCTGCCTTTGAATACACATTTTTTGTAGATATACGAAAATGTGTCTGGGGGTCTATCTAAAACGACTTACACCACTATAGCACTACCGGTTTTAATATTTTTTACTCTATCCTCCTCGCTACTGATCGGCGTTTTAACCTCTTGGACGACTGGTCTCATCTTTATTACGCACTGTTAGCAAATGATGGGAATGTACTTGCTCCAGAATGTATCTGTAGCTGCGTCATTGTTGGTCAAGTCTGGTCCTGAATGACCTAACACTCGTTGCCATCATAATGCTGTCTGGAAAATTATTTCAAGAGTTCAAAATTCTCATCCCCCCAAAAAAAACAAAATTACCATGACAATATTCCGAACTTGTGGCTTCTTCAACCTGAGGCTGTGACCTCTGGTTGGACGGGCTAGCTCTAGTTCTAGGTATGATCACTCGACTGAGTAATGTCCTCTGAGTGCTTATACGATTTCTATTAAGTCACCCTTTGGCTGTCTAGTATAAGCTAAGCAACTGCAGGTGTTCTTATATATCTGGGTTCCTGAGGCGTCGGAGTGCAAACAGTACTGTTAAAAAGTATAAACACCATCACTTTTGAGGAGCGTTATTGGGGGACGGACCATCTAGCGACGTGAACTTCCTTCCTATAAGACCTACAAGACCAATAAGACCTATTTGATTAATTTTCCTTCTCACAATATTCAGAGAACTTCAGTACGTTGTCCTTTTCACCTTTGGTCTCAGTTACTGTTGCTTCTTCGTCACATGGCATCACGAAAATTGTGACCAAGTCCCAGGTTGCTGATCTGACTTTCTGCCTCATTTACACACAATTGCAGGGTCTCAATTGTTTCTTACTATTGACAACACAACATACATATATTGTTCCTCACTTTTGATTTTTTTCATTTTGTATTTCTTTGTGGTTCTTTTATTATTATTATTATTATTATTATTATTATTATTATTATTATTATTATTATTATTATTATTATTATTATTATTATTATTATTATTATTATTATTATTATTATTATTATCATTACATTTTCGCCCCCCAGGCCCCGATGTGGGTCAGTGACCTGTGCCTGGGTGGGCTAATTCCCGTAAAAACAAAAAAAACAAAAAAAAACACACAACTACGACACTTGAATGGGGCATGATGACGTCATCCTCGTATATACAGCACCAACAGGTTCTCAAATATAGGCAGATATAACTATATATTCCACAGTAAACTCAGTAAAATTATATTTAGATTTCACTTGAAAATCATTAGCAATCCTTGACATGATAACACAGTGTATTCCCTTATCAATTAACTGTAATGGAATCCGATAAACCACTCTGCTAAAATTACTTGAAGGTTGTCTGAATAATGTTCTTAACGCGAGGATAGAATACATTAAGCAAAGGACTTGGAAATAACTCGATGTCTAGGCAGTTTCTGAAATCACGAGTCAGAACAAACAAGCAACATTGTCTGATATTATTGTTGCATGTTGTTGAGACAATTATGAAGTTAAGGAGAGAACACAGTGAAGGAACAGTCTAAAATAAACAATATGTTAGATGTTGTCTACAACCCTCACCTGACGACAACAGGCAAGAAGCAGACGTTGATATCAGTTGTTTTCGTTGTAAAGGAGAAAATACTATGTGGAGAATGAAGGTGATAACACGAGAGATTCCCCAGAGGGTGAGATGCGCCGAGAATATAGGAGGAGAGGGACGCTGGCTGGTCATTACTTGAGTCTCACTTGGAATTTTTGATAAAGACCAGATCCTGGAGCGTTCCTTCCTGGCTGCTGCTATACGTATACTTATAAGTATTTACTTATCTACATCCACGTTGCAACAACTAGGAACACCAAAGGATGGTTGCAACTCCTACAATATCATGAAAAACAGGAGCGGCTCAGTTGTTTGACTTAACCTTTCCGGGTTTTTTTGCTTTTCTCTCTCGTGAAATAAACAAACTTGTCCCACGTCGTTGTAGTCTGAATAATTCTGTCGTTTTATTTCTTCTTGTAGGTTGTCAGGAAACTGTCAGTTGCCTTTTGTCGTATTTTGTCATGACACTGTTGTACCGTCCTGCTTCTGCTGATTGTCAGGACACTGCTGTACCGTCCTTCTCCCACTGACTGCCAGGGCACTGTTTTACCGTCCTGCTCCCACTGACTGCTAGGACACTGCTGTACCGTCATGTTCCCACTAACTGTCAGGACACTACTGTACCGTCCTGCTCTCACTGACTGTCAGGACACTGCTGTACCCAAAGTTTTCTTCTTACAATATTAAAATGGCTTATATCCCAACTCAGCCTCAGAAACGAAGGTGATCTTTTTATCAACTGTTTAACATAACCCGGATGTTGTCATTGAACAACAAATACAGTTTATAGTGAAGTGCGTTGAAATGGTATTGTGAAAAGATGATTTTAAATGGATTAAAAGGAAAATAAATTGCTGCTAATGTATGAAGCTTTGTCATATTTCTATAATAATTCATTTTGAAGTGAAATCATTCTATGTCAACTTTCAGCCTCTGATTATATAAATGACAACTCGTCCTTCATGAATTTATTAACTGATTTACTTGTTTAAGTGTATTTTATTAAGTTACACAGTTGTTGGACCCGTTCTCAGTTAACCAGGTGCTGTCTGTGACAATCATTTGTGATATAATTTCTACAATGTATTTTCCTGTGTTAGCAGAGCTGCCGCTGTACACGTTGTAGCTCTGATGCTTCCCTGGCGGTTCATCCTAACTGTACTGTAGTTAAAAGAAACACGAGACCAACAGAGATTTTTGTTCACGGGGGAAAAACGTTGACTGCAGAGAAAACAGTGAAAATAGTAGTCAGAGGAGAAAGCGTTTCACTGGCGAGCAATTGGCAAGACTACTACTACTACCACCACCACCTCACCACCACACTGGCGAGCAGCAAGGCAAGACTACCACTGCTACCTTACCACCACAAGTCTCGTGAAACACTGAATTCGTATTTACTTCTGACGCTTATAATTGTTCCTTAAAGAAACAATTTGTTTTTAGTGGTCTACCGTTGAGAAAAACAACTGAAAAAATGCAACCCAGGTCACTGACTGACATCCGACACTCCTTCCAGGGTCATGCTGGTTCCCCTTACTTTAATTATATACTCGCTGTTCACCTCCGCATCTCTCACTCGGACAAGCTACAGTACACAGGAATATTATTGTTACTCGTAGATCACATGAATAAGCACGAATTAGATTACACTTATCTTAACTATATTAGGTAGCAGACCATAATACATCCACACCAGTTTATACCCGGGTATATTCTGACGTGCGCCATTTGATAGCAGGGGTATAAAATGGCTAGAGGGCATAATAACTGGCAGATTAAACCGGGCGTCCTTGGATGTGTGCCATGCATTGTTACCTCACACAGTGTAGTGCCCCGCCATACGAGAACATCACTAAAAAGTAACCGGCAAAATGACGTCGAAATTATTATAGAACAGTATTATTTTTTATTAGATGCATTTATATTTCTCATCAGGAAATAAATATGTTGTAATTACCTATGGTCCTTTGAGAAACCAGGTCTTGCATCCCAGCACACACACACACGCGCGCGCACACACACACACACACACACACACACACACACACACACACACACATACACACTTTTCGTCCCTGAGATTCCAGGAGTGAGAGAGATTGTGTTAATTACTTGAGGTTGTGAGAAAACTTGTGAAGTCAACAGGGGGATATTACTACCGTCACCACACACCTGACACTGCCCCCACCACACACCTGACACTGCCTCACCACACTCCTGACATTGCCTCACCACTCACCTGACACTGCCCCACCACACATCTGACACTGCCTCACCACACACCTGATACTGCCCCACCACACTCCTGACACTGCCTCACCACACACCTGACACTGCCCCACCACCAAACACCTGACACCCCACCACCACACACCTGACACTATCCCTTTGTTTACATCCTGTTAACATGATTCAACACTTTATTTGCATCAACATTTTGCTTTCATACATTTCTGTGATCTAATCCTAATATAAACATCAGAGAGAGAGATAAATAGTTTTTTTATCGTTCACTTTACTATACAAAACACAATTAATAAACGAACTTAATGAAATAAGAATCAATGCAGTTGAACGAAACGATTTTTCCGTGACTTTTCTAATCTAGTTGCCAAGCCATTCTAAACAAATCACCAACGACTCTGTTATCCGGAGAAATACTAAGGTAATATTTTTCTGAAGACTGAATTTTATTTTAAGTAAATTCAGAGACGGAGATCGTTGTGTGGTGAAGGCAGGTGTAGTAACTGGAATTGTGGTAATATAATTTATCTGTTTAAATTTAAT